CCATGGCCCACTGCACGCCTCTGGGCCCCCTGGCACAGCCAACCAACCCACTGGAAACCCTAAGGCCAAGCCAAGTCGGATCAGCACCGTGGTCTGATGAATGGAGAGCGTGAGCTGGGGCCCAGGGAGGTCTGGGGACTCCACAGGCGAGGGGCCTTGCACCCTCTCAGCTTCCTCAGTTTTCCCAAAATATATATACACATAGAAATGTCCTCCTCCCCACTTCCTCCCTACCTCGGCACCCCTCCTCTAACCCCCAACAGTTGCCATGGGGTTTCCTCCCAGATTCGAGGATCCTTGCCACTTGAAACCTGGACACAGCTCGAGCCCTGGGGAGTGTTGAGGACCTTTGGGGGAGCCTCATCCTCTTTTTCCTCTGCTCATCCTCCCTGCCTCCAGGTCTAGCTGGGTGGCCTCAGACCTCCCGGCCAGTGTGAGCTTCCTGTGGGCTCTGGCCGGTTTGGAAGGGCAGGTGTCAGGAAGGGTGAAGGCAAAGGCTTCCCCAGGGCGCCCCCGGCCACGAGTGGCTAGGAGGGAGCTCCGTAGAGTTGTGGCCAGACCTTCGGGCTCGGCTCTCTCTCTGACCTCAGGGCCTGGCTCCACATTTTCATGTGTCTCTCCGCCTGCCAGAGACATAGACTGTCCTCGCACTGGGTGGGTGGGCCCCCACTTATGCTGCCCCCAGATGAGGCAGTGCTGCCCTTGCAAAGCCAGTCCCCACCCCAGCCCAGACCCCTCAGCTTCAGGACCTTGCCTCTCCTTGCAACGTTGTTGTCCTGATCAAAGTCCAGACAGGTTGGGGGGGGGCTCAGGTCTGGGATGAGAAGGGCACTGCCCTCCTTCACCCATATTGCATGCCCTCCCCTTACACCTCCCCTACCTACAACGGAAGACAATGCACTTTACAGATGTTACCCACACACACCTCGCTGGGGCAGGGCACCCAGCATCAGCCCTGGGGAAAGAGGCTCCCAGAGGGCCACCATGAGCCCAAGATGTCCCTCCCGAGGGAAAGATTGAAGCCATCAGAGCAGGGGCTGGGAGCCAAGATGCCTGAGTCCTTCTGTCCATCAAAATCTCTGCTGCCTCTCCAGCCCCTTTACAGCCCTGTTTATTTATTATAAATATATTTTTTACAAACTCCAGCTCCTCTTCTTGCCCCGTATTTCCAGCTCCTTTCTCAGCTCCTGCCTCCCTCTCCCCTCTCCACCATGGGCTGCAGTAAGGACAGACAGACCTGGCTGGCTGAAGGGCCAGGGACCGTGGGGCCTGGGCTCAGGGGAGGGCCGCAGCGGGAGGGGCTGTATGGACAGGAGCTGGGGCTCAGGCATTGTCTTTTTTCCTCCTTGTATATAAGAATGTATATTTGATGCCTCATAAAAGACCTTGTGCTCACCTCCGGCCTCTGCCTCCTCCTTATGCCCCCTCCCCCACAGTGCAGCCCTTAGAGAGAGAGGCCTTAGCCCTGGGAGGTGAGGGTCTAATGGAGAAGCTCAGGAAACTGGGTGGGTGACATGCTTTGATTGGGTAGGAGGTTAGGGTGAGGGAGGTTTTCCTCTCTCATTTAATGGTCTGCATGAGAGAGTAACAAGCTCTGGGCAGTGGAGTTGGTCCAGTTCAAATGCTGGGGGGTTTTCTTGCTAGGTATGTGCACTTGGGAAACATACCCTCTCTCAGTGAGTGTCTCAGTTTAAAACGAGGTGATGAGCCATTGCCACACAGAGGTAACAAATGTCAAGCAGCCAGCGTGGAGTAGGTGCTCAGCAAGTTAGTTCCCTTCTCTTCCTTTCACTGGCTGGATACTTACCTTTCCTGTGGCAGGAATCCTCTCCCCTCCCCACAGCTGCCTACATCTCTGTCCTTGAGCAGAGTAGTGACTTGGGCGAGGAAGCCAGGGGCTAGATACGTTAGAAGAGCTCTGTGTATATACTTAGAATGTGAGATAACAAATAGCTGGGCTCCCTTTGGTTTACCGAGGAGGGGACAGGCCCAGACAGGGAAGGACCTTTCCCAAGGCCACAGACAGTTCTCCAAACAGCCTCCCTATGAAATGGACACGTGTCCAGCAACTGCTTATGTCCTGGGCCTCGGCACAGCCCAGGAGGAATGGGGCAAAGCAATGGCTCTTGGTTTGGGTCAGCAGGGTCCCCGGAGATAGCAGTCAGTAAATATTTTTGGTTCCTTTTTAGGTGCCTGGAATGGCTTCTAAGAGGGCATGGTTTGGATGACCCTACTCTTTAGCGTCGTGAACCAATACCTGTTTTCTTCCTCATATGCACATTTAAACAAAAGCAGCAGTTGAGGCCATCTAAGCATTTAATGCCTCCCGGAGGACCAGACAGACCTAAGTGTTTGCAGAGCTTAGACCCAGAGGGTTAGGAATTCAGTCCAATCAGCCCTTTTTTGTTTCTTCCCTGGTACACCAAGCTGCACTTGTCCCCCTCTTCTCCCACCTTCAATTTGATGCTGGCTTGTCTTTCCAAAGCTCAGTTTTAGCACTCAAATCCTGGCTCACTCACAGACTTGACTGTTGCTTTTGACAAGTCACCTAGCCCATCAGAGCTTGGTGTTTTACCTGTAAAATAGGGACAATAATCTCACAGGGCAATTGTTAATAGATACATGTGAAATGCCTACCTCCTGCCAGACACAGTGAGCTGTTTTCGGCCACCTACAGAAACAAGCGTAAACTCCTTGTCTTGATGTTGGAGGTTCTCCACCACTTGGCCCCAGCTGATCTCTAGTCCTAACTCTCATTCCTCGCCCACATTTTGGACATCCATTCACTGTTCCCTGAAAAGGCCTGCGTGTAATTTACAAACTCAGTACAGTTGACTCTTGAACAACA